TCGGGAAATACTGAAACTGGCTTCTCATGAAACTTTTGGTCCCGGGGAACAAGGTCTTGTAGGTCCATCTTATTAAAGATTTGTTTAGTTGAAAGGCAGAGTTGACAGGGAGATCTTCCATCTGCTACTTCACTCCCCAAATGTCCACAATGGAAAGCGTTAGGCCAGGCCAAAGGCAGAAGCCTGGAACTGCATCCGGGTCTCCCAAAGTGGTGCATGGACCCAAACACTTAGGCCTCATCAACTGCTTTCACTGGCAGATTAGCAGGGAGATGGAATGAAGTGGAGCACTGGGACTCGAACCTGTGCTCACATGGGATGCTGGCATTGTGGGCTGCGGCTTAACTGACCGTGCCATAGTGCCAGGTCATATCAGGCCCATTTCTAAAACATTGGAGATCTTTTGGGAAGATCACTTCGGTCAGACCTGCTCGGTAAAGCAATCCCAACAGAGTTCCTTTCCTCTGCTGCTTCACTGCTCGACTGCCTGCAACTGCTGGGGCTGGGCCAGGCCAAAGCTAGGAGCCGGGAACTCAGTCCAAGCCTCCCACGTTGGAGGAAGGGAACCAGATGATTGAGTCAACATCTACTGCCTCCATGTGTGTGCATTAGCAGGAAATTGAATCGAAACTGGTGCTTGGTCATGTATGGAATTTGGATTTCAAACCAGGATTTGGTTCCCAACTGCATCACGTACTCTAATCTGTCATTAAAAATGTTGTAATCTGTGTATGCCTTCATTCTCCTTCTGTTTTCTCCGTTGCAGCCTTACACTTCTAGTCATCTACGAGACCCTCATCCACCCAGTTTCCACCATTGCACCACCATCCCTCCTACTCTATGTTAGCTTCAACCTACTTGAGGGCCTACATACTTGCCTCCCACTCTGTCCTCTCTGTATATCCTCCCATTCCTTCTGGCCCACCACGTTGGACTCACTTTCCTCGTAACCTCGAACCCTTGGGGAGAGCCTCAGGTGGCCACTGGGCTCACAGCCCAAGAATGTCCAGAAGATTCTACTTGTTCTTCCTTCCTCATTGTACCCCCCACCCCATCCCAGCTTAGGTGGCAACTAAGGCAGGGATGCCTGTGCCTACCCATCTTCCAAGACTCCCTGTAGCACCTGCTCCTCAGCTGTCTACCTGGCCAGCCTGCACCCTTCCTTGGAGCTCTAGAGCCCCTCAGACCAGGATGGTTTCAGGCCCTTGCTGGGTGGGAGCTCATCCACCTACCCCTCTGGATGGGCAGTGGTTGTAGGTTTTGAGGCCACAGTGCATTTGGTATTATGTACTAGGAGCATAAGGACTACTAGCTGCATGGAGCTGAGGTCAACAGTGGGCTCCCAGCCATGTCCACCTTCTCAGTGCCCCCATAGCCGTGTATGGTGGCATCTCCAGCAATACACCGCCCCTCCCATCAGTGAGCAGACAGCCTCACGGGCTCCTGAGGGACCACGGCCACCAGCAGGTATGGTCTCTTATGTTTATTTATTTATCTCTCTCTCTCTCTCTCTCTCTCTCTATGTTTATTTATTTATCTCTCTCTCTCTCTCTCTCTCTCTCTCTCTCTCTGTGTGTGTGTGTGTGTGTGTGTGTGATTTTTTAAAAATAAGCATTAGTTGATGTTAAAACAGAGAAGGGAATGGTTGTTTTTCTGTCTTAAAAACTGTTCAAAAGAGAAAGAAGAAAACAGGCATGTACCAGTTCAAACAAGAACAGATCCCATAGATGGATCAATCCCTGTATTCCTGCAACTCCTGGAACATGACCAGGCTGAATCTGAGAACCAAGGCTTTGAAGCACAGTTCAGGTCTCCCAAGTGGGCAGATGTGAGATAACTGCTGGAGTCAGCATCAGCTGTCTCACTGGAACCATGTTTGTAGGAAGCTGGAATCCCAGGATGAAACCCAGAATTAAACCCAGGCATTGTCTTATTGGACCTACATAGGCCTCTTCCTAGCCTCTTAACTGTTTGGCTAACCGCTGCAAGGATGGTTCCCCTCTTCTTTGTCCCCTTAGTGCATGCCTGTAAGGAATGAGTTCCTTACATTTTCATCCTGTAGTTACTAACTCAGTAATGTGCCAAGTACTTTACTGCTGTATTCTATCATTCTAATAATTGTCAAGATTTCTTCCATAAAAAAGGTTAAAAAGTGGAAGAAAGGAATCAGTTAAGGTTTTAAAATTTAATAAAAGAAGAAAAGTGTGACTCCACTGAACATTTGGCCAAATATATGATTCCAAGGTGAATGTGGATGCCTTTCTTGTCCTAATGAAACTGAAACAGTTGGGGCTGTCCTTTTGTTTGTACAACTTAGATTTGAGAGGCTGATGCCTGTGTCCTCAAAGTATGACATTTCAGTTGTCAAATGTAGCTACGCAAAGATTTCAGAAAATGATAACCTCGGGGAGTAGTAAATATGTGTGTCCCTGACAGCGGTTTCGTTTAGTTGTGTTTTGATGAGTGGAAACCATACATGAAAATTGATTGCAGGAAATAACTTATGATATCCTTGCTTTTAGTAACATACATATAAAGTAATGGAGATTTGATTTATGGTAACGATTCTACAATCATATATGTGGGCCTGACCTCTTTGATTTAAGCAGCTGCTGCATAGAGATGCAAGCACCTTCATTGAAGCATTGAAGTTAAAAGTCATGTTAGTATTCTTGTCTGCCACTTCTTAAATATATTCCTTTCTCTGTTGTGCCTGTGTAGTTATTGCACAGAGTGGGAGAAAATGATTTAGAAAGTGTTTCTTTTAGTTTCTGAAAGACAGTGTGTATAATTGTTGTCATTTCTTTGAATATTTGGCATAATTCACCTCTAAAACCATCAGGGAGTAGAGAGCTATCTTTCAGAAGATTTTGCCAAACTAAAAATTCTATTGCTTTGATATTTATAAGAATCATTAATTCATTTCATCTTGTTTAAGCTTATAGTTTATAGCTTTCAGGGAAATGTATTATTTCAGATAAAGTGTTAAGTACATAAAGCTCAGCAGAATTTTAGCTCACTGTCTGTCTTAAAAATATTTATTTATTTATTAGAAAGTCAGAGTTACAGAGAGATCTTCCATCTGCTGGTTTACTCACCAGATGGCCACAACGGCCAGGGCTGGACCAGGCTTGAGCCAGGAGCTTCCTCTGGGTCTCCCACGTGGGTGCAGAGGTGCAAGCACTTGGGCCATCTTCCACTGCTTTCCCAGGCCATAGCAGAGAGCTGGATCAGAAGAGGAGCAGCTGGGACCCAAACCATCACCTATATGGGATGCCAGTGTTGCAGGCAGCTTTACCTGCTACACCACAGCACTGGCCCCACTTACTATCCTTCTAATGTATATGTGGTGTGTGGCACCTCCATAATTTGTCTTCTCTTTTTCTTTATCATTGCAATAAAGATATATCAGTTTTGCTGACGCAGTTTTTGTGTTCACTAGTTTTTTGTTTTGTTTTCAATTTTAATCTGTTTCACTCTTTGACATATTAGTTGCTCCCTTATGCTTGGCTTAGTTTATTTTGCTGTTCTTTGTTATTTTTTTAAACTAAAAATTATTGTTGAATAGATATCTTTCTTCTCTTCTAATAAATGCCTTTATTGCTATGAATTTTACTCCAAATACTGCTTAAGTTGCATCTGTATAACTCTGATACATCTGCATTTTAAATTTTTTAAAGTTATATCCTTTTCTAATTTATCTTGAGACTTCCTCTTTGACTTAGGGATTTAGAAGTGTATCGTGGGGCCAGCACTGTGGCCTAGCATGTAAGGCTGCCACCTGCAATGCCAGCATCCTATATGGGCACCGCTTTGAGTCCCGATTGCTCCTTTTCGTATCCAGCTTTCTGGCCTGGGAAAACAGTAAAGATGGGCTATGTCCTTGGGCCCCTGCACCGCATGGGAGACCTGGCTCCTGGCTTCAGATTGGCTCAGCTCTGGCTGTTGCTGCCAATAGGGGAGTGAACCAGCAGATGGAAGACCTCTCTCTCTCTCTCTCTCTCTGCCTCTCCTTCTCTCTCTATGTAGCTCTGCCTTTCAAATAAAATAAATAAATCTTTAAAAAAAAAAGGAAGTGTGTTGTTTTACTCCAAGATTGGAAGTTTTCCAGCTATCTTTGTAGTATTAATTTATAAATTAAATAAATTTACATCTAATAACATTCTTTATAGCATTTAGTTTCTTTAAAAAAAAATTGAAAGTCTGTTTTATGATGAAGAAATGGGCTACATTGGTGAATTTCCTTACGGACTTAAAAAATGGGTCTTCTGTTATTTTTGGGTGCAGTATTCTAAAAACATCAGTTATACCCATTTGATTGAAAGTTTGATGCAATTCTTCAATATCCTTAACTGATTGTCTTCTAGTCCTATCTGTTACTAACTGATGCGTCAACAATTACAAATAAAATTGTAAATATTTCTATTTCTCTTTCGATTTTCGTCAACTTTGCATAGTGAAGTTATGTTGCTATGTAATATGCATGTAGAATCATTTTATTGTTTTTTTTTTTTAATTGCACCTTTGGGCAACATGCCATGACCCTTCTAACTCCTTCTAATTTTCTCTGCTCCAAATTGTACTTTCTCTAGTATTAATACAGTCGTTCAGATTTTTTGGATTAATGTTGCACAGGATGTATTTATTTACCCCTTTTACTACTTTATCTATTTCGATGTATTTGAAGTAAGTTTGTCATAGACAGCATCAGGAGGGGTCATTTAAAATAAAATCCTTTCTGAAAATTTCTCTCCTTCACTTGCTGTGTTTAGGCCAGCTGCATTCAACATACTCATTGATAGTTTTCGATTTAGCCCAATTTCATCATCTGTTTTTTGACATTGAACTCTTTTATTTCAGTTTCTCCTTTCTTGCTGTCAGGTGACTTGCATGGTTTTTCATTCCATTTTAATTTATCAGTTGTGATGTATACATTATCTGTTTCTATAGATTGTTAGTGACTGCCCTCAGAAGTATAACACACACTTTCTTTTTCATAGGCTCGTAACAGTTTTGCCGTATCAGGGAGAAATTTTACCATCAGGTAGGTCCTTTCTTTTCTCTTCTATGTCATAGTTTTCTTACATATTCCACATATCCCAACAATCCACATTAAAAATTCATCAGGTGAATGTTGTAATTTTTGGTTCAATCATTGAATCAATTTTGTTTTAAAAGATTTATTTATTTTACTTGAAAGTCACAGTTACACAGAGGGAGAGAAGGAGAGATCAGAGAGAGAGAGAGAGAGAGAGAGAGGTCTTCCATCCTTCCATCCCCTGGTTCACTCCCCGAGGACTGCAATGGCCAGAGCTGCCCCAATCTGAAGCCAAGAGCCAGGAGCTTCTTCCAGGTCCCCCATATGGGTGCCGGGGCCCAAGGACTTGAGCCATCTCCTACAGCTTTCCCAGGTCATAGTAGAAAGCTGGTCGGAAGTGGAACAACCGGGTCTCAAACCAGTGCCCATATGGGATGCCGGCACTGTAGGAGGCAGCTTTATCTGCTATGCCACAGCACCGGCCCTCATTGAATCCATTTTAAAAACCTATTGGGGCCGGCACTGTGGTGCAGTGGGTTAAGTCTCAGAGAACGTGGCGGTGAGACGGTGTCACTAGTCAGGGTTAGGGCCTGGAACTCTTCCTCTCCTGCAGTGGAAGGCTGTGTCTTTAACTGTCAGTGTGATGACATCCGCCTTCCCAGAATGCACCTGTCACATCCAGGTCCAGGATGCGTGCTCGCACCCCAACACATTCGTGGAGCTACTCGGAGGGCGCACCAGCCGGAAGGAGCTGCACCTCCAGCGCGGATGAAGGCTGCCGTTTTCTCTCTTTCTCCGCGGAGCGCTGCACACCGGGAGCCAGGGACCGCTTGTGCGTGCTTTTCCCTGTGCAGAGCCGTCCACCTTGGTGCTTTCCTGCTCTCTATCTCCGACGTGTGCATGGACCAACCAAACCGTAGGTACCATTTTCGTTTTTTTCTCTTTTTCTTGTCCACGGGCAGTTCTTTGGCCCGCTCTTGTTGAGCATTTCTCTGTGCGGGGCAGCCCATCCTGGGCCTGAATGTGTGTGTGTGTTTCCTGGGTGCTACATAACCTCCTTCCTATTTGCACGTGGGGCCGGTCTGCATTTTGTGTTTCTGTCTTGGAAGGAGACAAGAGCCTGCACCAAATTTAATATAATCTGGGTTCTGGTTCGAGTCTCGGCTGCTCCACTTCCTATCCAGCTCCTGCTAGTGCCCCTGGGAAAGCAGCGGAGGATGGCCCCAGTACCTGGGCCACTACACCCACATAGGAGACAGGGGTAGAGACAGGCTCCTGGCTTCGCCCTTGCCCCTGGCCTGGACATTCTGGCCATCTGGGGAGTGAACCAGCAGGTGGAAGACCTTTCTCTCAGTCTCTCCCTCTCTAACCATGACTTTCAAATAAGTAAATAAATAAATCTTCAAAATCATTAATATGTTCATGGCCCACATAGTAGAACTCTGGGAAGTAAGCTCATGAAGAGTGAGGAGACTTTTCCCATCCCGCTCCTCTCCAGAGCCCCTGATGGAGGTTGGGATTCTCTGCCCCTGCTGCTTTGTCTAAAATTTTGGTCCGGAGTGATTTACCCTGTGAGCTCTTTTCTCCGACCAGGCTAGGAAAAGTTTTTGTTTTTGTTTTGAGTTTGTGCAGTGTTTTTTCACTTGTTATGCATATGAACTGATGATCTACAAGCTCCTTAGTGTGCTGGACTAGATGCCAGCGAGGTTATTTTATGTTCATGCCTGGTAACATCTTATTGAAAGTTGGACATTGTATTAAAAACTTATGAAGGCTCAGAATGATAATCTCATTGCCCAGAGATAATTCACTCTATCATAGACCAGGCAAATAGCATGAGGGTCATAACTCAATCTTTTGGGGTGGCCCTGGCTCGAGTCTGCATTTCCTTCCTTAGAAGAGTCTGGCTTCGTCTCCACCCCTAGGCTGTGGACCTCCAGGGATCCCAAGTGAAAATCAGCGACGTTTACCAATGCCTCCTGATGGCTGATTCTCAGAACCGTAAGTTGGCCTCTTACTAAAATGACCAAAACCTGCACTCCTCTTTCCCATTCTTTCTTCCCCTCTACTTCTTAGTCTGTTAACCTAATGTTGTAGTAGGAAAACTGGCATCTGGTCTGCTTGTGTTTTACTGTGACCTGCTGTTCTCCGGGATTTTGGTCCCTCAAGGTCTAGATGCTGGAAACTGGCAGTTAGCCTAGTGGCTCAAATGCCCACATCCCATGTCACGGTATCTAGTTTTGATTGCTGGCTCTGGCTCCTGGCTTCAGCTTCCTTTCAAGGCAGACCCAGGGAGGCAGTGATAATGGCTCAAATAATTGTTTTTTTTTTTTTTCTACTCACAAGGGAGACTTGGATGGAGATACTGGTTCCCAGCTTCATCCTTGGCTGCTGTGGACATTTGGTGAATAAACCAATGGGTGGGAGTTCTCCCAGCTCCCTGAAATAAGTAAACATCACCATTGAAAAGATCTGGATGTTTTCATTGGCCCAAACTCCAGCTTTTGTTCCCCTGGTTCTGATATGTGGAAAGCTCTGCCTGGGTAATGATCTTCCCTTGGCTTCTGGTCCATTCTCTGGCTGGCTTCTCAGCTCCTTGCTTCAGACCAAAGTGGCTACTGCCAGTGGGAAGCACCTCACACCATTCTCCATGGGACTGTGGCCCTCAACTCCTGGATCTTTCAGTAGCTCCCAAATAACCTGCAACCAGATGCTTTTGTTTCATGCAGTTTTTCTGGTTGTTGTTCTTGGAAATGTTGGTCTTAGTAGAAAGGGAAGACCTGGGACAACTTATGAGAAGTAAAGTTGCAGACAGGTGCTCCTAGCAACTGTGAGATAAACAGAAGTGGTATAAAGAGCCCAGAGGGCAGTGTTGGCCATCCAAGTAATGAGATGACCCCTGGCTATAATTGAGGTTGTGTTTCTCTGTCCATCAGAATTGTTGGCATTCTCTTGTGTCTAGAGATGACACTACTGCCTCCTTTACCCAGAGTCATCCCTGGGAGAGAAAAGGGGGCAGCTTTCTAACAGATCATGTTCGGGTGGCCTCTTGGGCATGGGCTAGTAAGGAATTCTTAGGAAAGGGCCAAGGCAGGGCTTAACCTGTGGCCCAGGGTAACTCCAGTGTCAGTGCTGGAACCTGCTGCTAACAACTCACAAGAGCCTATGGTGTGTTTATGTGTGGTCACTTTAGTACATTGTACGGGCCACGTACACCATGGAGATCCACAGGCACTATAAACCAGGGCTTTGTTTTACGCAGATGCTGGTTGTAAAACTTGAATCAGGGAACGGCCACCCAGGAGGGATGTGTGGCAGTGGGGGTGGGGCCAGATTCAAGCCCTTTGGGTCAATAGATACTGGGGGCTGACTCAATAATGATTGGCTCTGTGTTCATGTGTGTGTGTGTGTGTGTGTGTGTGTGTGTGTTTTATCATTTAGTTCTCACTACACCATGAAATCAGATAGTAGAGACTAGGAGAATTTCTGTTCCCTGCTTCAGTCCACATTGCAACCTGGGTCGCTGTGATCCCCTTCATCTTCATCCTTAACCACAGCACCTGTAGCAGTACAGGGCGGGAGGACTGAGCCCAGGCTAGTTTCCGGTCGCTGAGGGCAGACAGTGCAGTGTGGCAGAGACCAAGGACCCGTGTGGCCCTGAGCACACACTCGGCCCATATAAGAAGTGCAAACAGGATTCTGAGCCCAAGCAGCATGGAGAGAACAGAGGGATCTGAGAAAAATTGTCCTTGGTTGCTTATTGTTCTTGCACCTTGTTGTCATGCCCCTGTCCTGAACAAACCCCACCACCTGTTTTCTCTGTTTCTATACCCAGACGGCACAGCACAGGTGATGAAAACTCGCACAACAGAGCAGATTGCCGCATTCTAAATTCCTGATCACCAATCTCCAAGACAGCAGGGGTCCTACCAGAACTTGTGGGCTGACTTTTCCTTTACTATCCCTAGAAAGTTTTCACACTTTTAATGTGCGGAAGCATGCCTCTTCTCCCTCACTCAGTAATTCTAAAGTCGAACTTTCCTGTTTATTTTGCAGTATCTATAAATTCACGTAATGGGGTGAGACCCAGTACAGAGAGGGTCCCTGGACCCTGTATCCAGTCTCCTGCAGAACCAGCCTCTTGCAGAGTTACAGTACAGTTCCAAAGCCAGGAGACCACAATGGGCACAACCAAGGGAGAGAATGTTTTGGACCTCACAAGACTTCACGTCATCCTCATAGAGCCACACCCATTTCCTCTGACAGGCTCCAGTCTGTCCCACAGCTCCATGACTGAGTCACATCCTGAATGTCATTTGTGTGCAGTCACACAGAGTAGGTGCCCCAGGGACTGGGTTTTATCAGTCAGCATGGGTCTCTGGAGATTCCTATAGGCCACTGTGCGTACACATAGTTCCTGTAGGTCACCGTGTGTACCCATAGTTCCTATAGGTCACTGTGTATTCATAGTTCCTGTAGGTCAGTGTGTGTATCCATAGTTCCTATAGGTCACTGTGCATACCCATAGTTCCTGTAGGTCACTGTGCATACCCATAGTTCCTATAGGTCACTGTGCATACCCATAGTTCCTATAGGTCACTGTGCATACCCATAGTTCCTGTAGGTCACTGTGCATATCCATAGTTCCTATAGGTCACCGTGTGTACCCATAGTTCCTGTAGGTCCCTGTGTGTACCCATAGTTCCTATAGGTCCCTGTGTGTATCCATAGTTCCTATAGGTCCCTGTGTATCCATAGTTTCTATATGTCACTGTGCATACCCATAGTTCCTATAGGTCACTGTGTGTACCCATAGTTCCATCCTTTGTATTAACATCCGTGGGATGGATGGTCTGGTATTGCCCACTAAGGTCCATCAGGGTTGATTCCAGTTCTTGCCTATTAAAAATTAAGCTGCTGTAGACATGAAGTATTTTACATGAATGTAGGAATTAATTTTTGAGGGATAAAAACCTCTGGCACTTTAATTTAATTTATTATTAATTTAGTGTTGAGAGACTACCAAGCTGGTTGCCCGTGTAGCTGTACCATTTCATAGTCTCATTAGCAAGGTAGGGTTGATCCAGTTTCTCCACATCCTTGCTAGCATTGCATATTTTAAGTGATTTTTATTTGAGCCAATTTGATAGGTCTATACTGACATCCCAGGGTGGTTTGTACTTGCATTTCCCTCATGGGTAATGACATGGAACATCTTTTCATGGGCATATATGCCGACTGCATACTTCTTAGGTGGAATGTGTGTTTTCTAACTGGATTGCTATTTTACTGTTCAGTTGTGAGAGTCTTTTACATTTTCTAGATACTAGTCCTTTGTCATCTGTGTTGTTTGTAAATACATGTCTTAAAGTATTTACCTCATTCTTTTTTTACATTTTTTAAAATTTATTTGACGGGTAGAGTTATAGACAGTGAGTGAGACAGACAGAGAGAAAGATCCTCCTTCCGTTGGTTCACTCCCCAAATGGCCACTACGGCCGGCGCTGCACCGATCCGAAGCCAGGAGCCAGGTGCTTCCTCCTGGTCTCCCATGCGGGTGCAGGGCCCAAGCACTTAGGCCATCCTCCACTGCACTCCCAGGCCACTGCAGAGAGCTGGACTGGAAGAGGAGCAACCGGGACTGGAACCCGGCACCCATACAGGATGCCGGTGCTGCAGGCAGAGGATTAACCCAGTGAGCCATGGTGCCGGCCCCTACCTCATTCTTTACTGCTTTATAGTTTTCTGGACATTTTGTCATTTTATATTTAAGTTTGTGATTCATTTTGAGCTCCGTTTTAAACAAGCTGTGAGACTTAGGTTGAGTTTAATTGTTTTCCTCTGGGTAGCCTGTTGCTCCAGGACTATTTGTTAAAAATCTTACCTTTATCGCTTCTTGGCCTTTTCACTGAGATC